GGCGCATAAGGTGCTTGGAACGGAGCGAGCGCACCCCCCTCCCCCCCTCCCTTGGTGCCTATATGGGCCGGCGGATGTAAAAAAATGTTCATGAATTTAAAAAAATTCATGATTTCAAAAAATGTTTGCAAATTCGAAAAATGTTCATGAATTTGTAAAAAATGTTCATAATTTCAAAAAATCATTCTTGAAATAAAGAAATGTCCATGATTTCAAAACATGTTCTCGAATATTCAAAAACATGTTTATGCTTTAAGAGAATTTTAACAAATTTAAAAAATGTTCAACATTTCGACAAAATGTTCACGAATTTGAAATAATGTTCGTGAGTTTTAAAAAATGTTCACAATTTAGAAAATATGTTCATGAATGCAGAAAAAATGTTCATAATTTTAGAAAATGTTCATGATTTAGAAACAATGTTCACAGTTTTGGAAAAAGGATAACAATTTCAAAACATTATTCCTGAGTTTGAAAAAATGTTCATGATTTCAAAAATGTTCATGGTTTCAAAAAATGTTCATGATTCAATAAAAATGTTCACGAATTTGCAAAAGCAAAACCTCAATTTAAAAAAATCACATATTTAAAAATATTCATCATTAGAAATAATAAATTTAAAAGATTTTTAAAAATTGAAAAACAAGAATAAAAATGATAAAAGAAAAAGAAAAAGGTAGAGAAAAAAAGGAAAAGGATCAAAAAAGAAAAATACAAAATCGAGAAAAGAAAAAGAAAGAAAAAACGAAAGAGAAAAAAAACAGAAAACCGGGTTGAGGGAAGGTTCTAGAACCTTCCCAAAACAGGTTGGGATGAAACCCCGAATGGGCCGGCCCACAGAAACAGCAGCGGGCGAGGGGGGTACGCGCTATGTCGCTTGGCAGCGACCTACGCGCTATATAGGAAGCGCCCTCGGATAGGCCAAGCACCTCACGAGGTAGCGACGCTGGCCTGAATCGGGCTCATGCGAACGTGGCAGCCATCCCAGCAATGTACAGGCGACATGCATGCCGAGCGAGGAAGAAACATGCAAAGAATGCACATGACGACCCGGCCACACCAGCAACGCGCAAACACTGTGCACCGGCCTACCGCGACCAAACCAGCCCGACACGGGGTGAGACACAGACAGATGGGTCCAACTCGTGCTTTATGCATGGGCCAGTGTGCGAAAAGGTTCCCGTGAGCGCACCCTCCATCGCCCAACGAAGGGGCCGCAGGATCGCCCTGTAGTCCACCCGTCGTAGAACACCCAGATGGGTGGACCGGGTCCGAGCCGTCCGGGTAGATCTGATGGCTCA